CACTGCAAGTGTATGTGACAGTGATTGTGTATGTGGCACAGAGTAGGAGTTTGTGACAGTGACACAGGGTGTGCGCGCTGGCTGCTTCTGCATAAGTTTCTGAGAGAAGCCATGCTCTGTCTCCAAGGGAAATCCGTTCTTCTCTGTTGTCTCCCTCCTCCCCCACTCTAAGGGGAGATTTGATAGCAGCTTTCAACTTCCTGAAGCGAGGTTCCAAAGAGGATGGAGAGAGGCTGTTCTCAGTAGTGATGGATGGCAGAACAAGGAGCAATGGTCTCAAGTTACAGTGGGGGAGGTCTAGGTTGGATATTAGGAAAAACTATTTCCCTAGGAGGGTGGTGAAGTATTGGAATGGGTTACCTAGGGAGGTGGTGGAATCTTCATCCCTAGAGGTTTTTAAGTCTGGGCTTGACAAAGCCCTGGCTGGGTTGATTTAGTTGGGATTGGTCCTGCCTTGGGCAGGGGGCTGGACTTGATGACCTCCTGAGGTCTCTTCCAGCTCTGTGATTCTATGACTCTGAACTCCTGAGTCTCTTACTATCCACACTTCAGATTGGAAGGAGCTATGCGAACTAATAACAGAGTAGGTTACAGCCAGAGATCCATTGGAGATCCTCAGAGGATATAGCTTGACCTTCGACTCATTTTGCTATAGCAATAAACAACTTAGGTAACTTAATGATCAGTTTTGTTTTCTGCAATACCAATGTGTATCTAATGCCAAAGGAATGAGTCTCCTCTGTTCGGGAGAGGCTTGGCACCAGTGTTCCCTCTAAGATTTTCCACCCATGAACGGAGTGAGTTTTGTCTTGTGCACCAGTATTGAGTTTATGTGCCCTTGCTCGGATGCGTGCTGCTGTGGCATCCAAGTTATTAATAAATATCTTATGAACCTCTCCCTTTTCCCCTCTGCTGCCATGTCTCCTCCCTTCCCCTCTCCTCCCCTCATCTCCTTCCCTAATGCTTGCTACTGCCCTGAACCCCTCACCCTCGTCTGCTGTCCTGACTTCTGCCCTTCAGGGACCTGCCTCCTCCCCATCATCCCTGACCCCTGAACCAGCCCTTTTCTTCCCCTGTGCCCACTCTCCCTCTAGCCCCACTCTGATTATCTATAGTTGCCCTCCATGCCTCTCCTACCACCTCCCTCTACCCACCTGCCCTGCCTCTCTCCTCTGTCGCCTGTCCCTCCCCTCCACATCTGCCCTTCTGCTTCACCCTCAGAATCCCCTGACATCGGCATCTTCTCTTACCCCTGCACCTTCCTGATGCCTTCCCCTTCCCTCACTGCCCCTGCCCTCCTTGCTCCCTTTCTCCCTGGTGCCCACCCTCTCACCACGCTCTGTCCCAGTTTTCCTCATGCTCTTCTGTGCCCTCACACATGACTTGCTCCATCCCCTGCCTTCCTCATACCGACCACTCCTTTCAACACCTCTTCTCTTGGCACCCACTCCTCCCCTCTGCTCTTCCTTCCTCTTGCCCTCATTGTCCTTCCCCTCTCCTCTCCCAACATCACCCTGTCCCCTCCCTTCTCACACCACCCACTGACACCTTCCCTCCTCTCCTTCCTCCGGCCATTTTCCTCATTGTCTCCTCTTGGCTCCCTGGCATTTGTCTCTCTTCCACCCTGCCCCTTGGTACCTTCCCCTTTCTTCTCCTGCCCTGGTCACTTCCTCTCACCTCAGCATAAGCCCCTTTCCTCTCCTTACCTCTCTTCCCCTTAGTTCTCCCCCTGCCCCTTCCCTAAATTTCTATCTTTGATGTGAAAAGCAGTTTGTGGGGGCTGAAGCAGGGGCCACAGTGCTATTTTTAGTATCGTGGTCCCAGATCCAGCTGCTCCCGGGGTGGGACCATGTGCTGGGACTGGAGCAGAGGCTGTCCACAGTGCTATTTTTAGTACTGCGGTCCCAGCCCCTGCAGTACTAAAAATAGCACTGGAGGTGGCCCCAGATCCAGCTGGAGTAAAGTGGCAGCTGCACGTGGCTCATTACAACTGGGGCCACCTTACCGGAACAGCCTCAGCCTACACATGCCCAAGCTCCAGGTGGAGCAAAAGGCCAGCTGTTGCTGCTGCCGATGCCACCACTCACCTTTCATTCCAGCAGGAAGGTGAGCAGTGAATGGTGCTGTGTGGCTCTTAAAATGATGTGGGTGAATCTAAAATGTTTAGTGCACGGACATGTAGGTGCGCAGCATAGAGGGAACACTGTTTGGCACATGAGAAAAAACCCAGGTAGGGCAACTGATTGGTTTATGTAAAATTCCAAAACTATTAGAAATTTATTTTGGGCAAAGTGCTAGAAAGATTTTTGTCCTTATGTAACTCTGTGTGTGCACTCTGTGTAGGGTCTGGAGTAAACCTACTCTTCTGGGTGAGGTGATGGCAACATTAATGAACATCGAAACATGGAATATATAATCTGCAGTTCAAACAGTGGCTTAGTGAGCATAGTAAACACTAAGTTACGGTCCAGTGAGGTATGGCTATTTTACTGATGGGAAGGTTCTAATTAGACCTTTCAGAAAACTGGCTGCTCCTGGGTGAATAAAGACAGATTAACTATCCGAATCAAGTAACACACACAGATTGCCACTGGGAAGCCACAGAGAGCTATGGGAAAGGCCCATCAGAGTAAGATGATAATCCAAAGTAGCCATAATATCTGCTGTTTTTTAAAGATATATGGTTTTACTGAACCGAGACACAGAAATGTTTGCGCTTGGCAAGATATTTCCTGACGGAGTTAGTTTTGATCTAATTAAGAATGGCTTCCATGGCTTCAGAACAGGAACACTGTAAGTTTGATGCCTATCCAAATACCAAGCCATGTGATTAAGTGCATCAGGATTGGTATGCTTGACTTTGTCATTGTCTTGGGTCAAGAGATCCAAGAAGAACTGAATGCTGATAGCTGGATGGGACATTTGTAGAAGACTCAGAAATCAGAGAACTACCTGGGTGTTTGCAGTGATTAGGATGACTGATGCCTTGTCCAGTCAAATTTTCTGTAAAACCCAAGGTAACATGGGGATGGGAAGAAAGACATAACTGAAGTGATCTGTCCAAAATAAGAGAAAATTGCCTCTGGGGTGCTTTTCTTAGATCTTTTGGAGCAATATATGTTGCATTTCCTGTTTGCCCGAGAAGAAAATAGGTTCTTAGTGGCAGTTGCCCACTAAATGAAATCCTTATTCACTTCTGAAATTTGTAACTCCTACTCAGGATAGATGGTGAAATGCCAACTGAGGCTGTCTGCCAACACATTCTCTGTTTCTGGGAGTACACTACTAAGAGGATTATATGCTTCCGGATTCACTAGTACCATAAGGTGACCACTTCTATGCACAGGGAAACAATCTGCAGAGCTGTTAAATAAACAAACTGGAGCCACCCATTAGCAACTCCGAAACACTGCTCTAATTCAAGATTTTAGGTAGCAGCGTCCGTTTGGGGAGGGTAGACCCAAAAGAAAAGAAATGGAAGCTATAAATTACGAAATGCCCTTGAGGACTGATTCCCCCCTCTCTCCCCAAAAAGGAGGGGAAAAACATGAAAGAAAAAACATCTAACAGAAAAACCTCCTCTTTACTAAAAGGAAATTAAAAACTCCAAAAATCACTAGCACTTAACCTAACACTACCCAAAGAAGGAAAAGACAACTGTTCACTCTCTTTGAAGCCAAAAGCAGTCAAGAAGGAAATGAAGGAGTGTCATATGTGCAGCTAACCTAGAAGCAGACCATAGAGGGCAAAGGTGAATGTCCAGGCCAATTAGAAGTACAGGGGTGCAAACATCTCCAGTTGAGCACCCAAAGGGACACTACTCAAAGTAGAATGCATGCATACCAACAGTAGAATATATATAAGAGCTAGCACTCAAAGAAAACCCTCATTATAAGGGTCTTCAAGTCTTCAGATTTTTTTCATGCTGCAGAAAAATGAGTTAAATTATAGTTCCACTTGAAAAATCTGCTCACAATAATTGATAATTTGATAACCAATCAGATCAATTATATTCAGCTTATATCTCTAGCATCATAATACTGTCTGAACCCCATATACCGAAGAGTGCCTGAGTCTGATTAGGTTTCCTCTGGTAGAACTGTTTCACAGCTCTCAATAACAGCAAGGAGGAGAACCTGAAAGGCCCTTCAGTCATGGCTTTAGTAATGTTACAAATGAAAGTTCTGCTTGAGTCTCTTCCTCAACTTGTATATTTTCCCTAACACTAAATTCAATGCAGTTAAATTCTGATGGGATAATATAAACAAAACAATTCTAGTATCATTTAGTTGCTCCATGCTAAATGATGTGCAATGTGAATAGCAAGGCAAACACAAAATATGTGTTATTTACAGAATAGGAGGTCAGAAAGTAACAGATTGTTATCCCTACTTATCGTCTATCCTGACATTTTGCTGAGGACACAGTAAGACAACAGAAGCTGTTTCCATGCCTCCCACGAAACCTATTGCCAGGAATTCTGATCTCCAAAAGCAAGTGGTATCACACACAACATAATTCCCCAATCGGAAAATGAGTAAGATGTAGTAAAACATCAAAGCACCATACCTCCAATACACAAAGAGGGAAATTATTGAAAAGAAAATGCTGTAGTTAAATATGATTGGACAAAAGCAAATCTGTTTCCTCTGCTTCATGTAAGTTGACGTTCACTTCTGTTTCTATGAGTGCACAGAATTCCACAATATCTATCAAAGGGATTTGCAATAACAATTAGCATTCCAGGCCCTATACATTTATTTTCCCATTCTGCATTGGAGGTCAAACATATTTCAATATATTATTAAACCAGCAACATATACTTCTTTATTTCTCTTCCCCAATAAGCACAATTATTTCAGCAACATTTCTTCCCATCTTCTTTTCCCTTATAGTTCCCAAAACAGGCACTTAAGGATCATTGAAAAAGAATAAACTAAATAATTAATTTCTATTTCCTTCAACCCCTCTTCTCCCTTGTATCCATATATACCTCTCACCTCTCCAATTCTGCTATCTTTTTATCTTTATCATTCTTCTCATTTTCCATCTCCTTCAGGATTTCCAGCAGTCGATCCACTTCAGCTTGAGCCTTACTGGTTTCTTCCTGGTACAGTGCCACCTCCTGCTCCAGCTTCTGGAATCGGTCATTCAGCTCTGGACTTGCCTTGGCCTCCAATGTAGCTTCATGAGCCTACAAAGAAATCCATTCAATAACAATCTCTCACACATACATAATATATCCACAATCATTTCAAGGCTGCATAAAGTAGCCAAATAGCTATCTCTGAATGATAAATGTATCCATTAAAATGACAGGTTTACTGGGCACCAAGTTCCTATCAATGGGATAGAGTTAATATAGTGAAACAGATGTTTTGTATGGATTTTTAAAGGGAGAGTTGACATTTAATTTTCACCATGGAGGCAGCTCAGAAAGAAAACAAGTAATTTCAAAAATTATTTTTCCAGATATGTGCCTATTTAGTGCCATCTTTTCAGCACCTCAACAAAAGTCTGCACACACAAACCTTATCTGCACTGGACACAACACTGCAGTGTACCCATCACCAGCCTGTTAGCAGCATTAACTGTGTTCTTTCAAAATCAAAACTGAAGCTGATTTCTTGATGAGGAAAGAAAACAGTGCAGGGTAATGGGGTAATGATGGGGGGAAATAAAGGAGTATAATTACACTTACTCATAAGAAAGGAATGTATTGGAGAGTATATTTAAAACTTGGAGAGATGAAAGTACAAGGGCTCCCAGAAATTACATTTAGAGCACAAAGAAGCATTATAATGAGAAGACTCAAGACCAAGTGATCCAAGTAAAGACCCTATTTCAACTGGCATATAGGAACAGTATGATGAATTTATCTGAAAGTAAATCTTGTTCCACTGAAAAGTCACTAGCTTATTAGTAGAGTGAAATAGAATCCAATAGTTAACATGCATGGTAAAATCAGAGAGAAATGGATATACATACTGGAATTTAACCAAACAAACCAAGGATTAGATTCCCAATTAACTAAGAACAGTTTTCAGCATATATGGAATGAGGGAGATGAAGAGGACATACTTATCTTTATGCTACCTTTTGACTCTTCCTTGGCCTTGGAGGCTAAACTAACCCCTGATACAAGTAAAAGCAGCTTCAGGCCTGGTCAAACTTGTTTCAGTGGATTGAAGTTTCCCAAATGCTTCTCTGCCAGCTAAGACTACAAAGCATACTGTGACATCTATAACATGGCTGATGTTTAAATTATCTATGCTGTTGTGGAAAGGGGATTTACAAGGTGCCAAGTTTCTGACCCACAGTGTGGCAAACCTAAACCCACTGCACTTGTCTAAATAGACCAAGAGCTATTTTTAAATGTAATCAAAGCTACAGCTACAGCACCATATAAATGTCAGCATTATGATTTGCTGCTTGCAATGGGGGAACTGTAATGTACTAATAGCGCAAACATAAAAGGCAATATACTTCCTAGGAGAGACCACAATAAGAGAGTAGTGAGTTAAGACTAGTTTTTCCATCACAGACACAACTTGATTTCTTCCCTACTGAATATGGTTGCATGACCAGCCTCTCAAAATATTTGTCTTAACAAATGCTCCTCCAGGCCCTTTAATGCATCCAAAATACATAATCAGATAATCAGGATATATGAAAAAATGTAAAACCGGGACATTAGCCAGATTACTGAACTCCCTCATCCCAAATAAGGTACCATAGCTAATACAGATCTACTGTCCGGAGATCTCCTATTTCATATTATTTTGTATTAATAAAACAGTCTTTACAATTACACAAGAAACAGAAAAGAAAGAAGTAACATTTTATTTTTAGAATATTAGCCAACATGTCAGTTTGTCTGGTTCTTACAGAATTAGAGGACTGTTAACATTACCTTCATTGCTGGTTGCATTCATAAAACATGATGTTGGTACCTAAGATACTCTCAACTACACACAACAAAAATGGAATGTGAGCCTGTGGAAACTGGAAACCAGTTTGCAGGTTCTGAATTACTAACTTTGGCCCAATTTCTGGGTTACACAGACAATGCATATTATGTGACTGTGTCTTAAATCCTATTAGATTAAATTACTGTATGAGAGAGAAAGCTAATTAATTTAGGTTTTTTCACAAACTCGCATAAATATCTGGAAATTGGACAGAATTCCAGCAGAAATTGGACAGAATTCCAATTTAATACTATGGGACACATTTCAAAAATCTATTTTTTTATACTGAAAAAAGAAATTAAAATAAAAACAATACATTCCTATAATATACACAGAGGTAAAGTATACAATTAAGGTGTTATCTGCTAAATTCCTCTTCAGTGCACAATGGAGCACAGTAAAAAAGACAACAAAGCAGCTCTTCCCATTTGGGTACAAAAATCAGCATGCTCTGATCATCAAATTGCAAGACAATGAGTAAGATAAGGATTCTATTCTGGACACTGACTTGCAGTGAAAGATGGGAAAATCATTAAAAAAAATATTTGTCTAGGTTTTCTCATCGGTAAAATGGGGATAGCATTCGTAGTTATAAAGTGCTCATATACCTGAAAGAAAATACCAAGACCTTTTAAAATATGCAATTACTACCCTTTCTGTCATATTCAAATTCACATTATCACAACTGTGTGATAGCAAGCAATACAAATAAGCCTGTCAATACAATTTCATTTATAAACTCATTTTCACACATACAACATTTTGAAACATTGTTTTTAGACTGAAATAATCTGTTTCATCTGTATTCAATGGCAAGTTTTGGAGTTTGAACAACAGCGGAAGATAGGGGAAATGTGATGCTCCTCAGTGAAGATGTGGCATGTACATAAAGCTATTTTTAATTTCTGTTTATCAGAGAAAATTTGTAATTTTTGGAATTAGGAGAAAACAAGCTATGCAAGGATAACAATGAAAAACATCTTATTTTCTCTTAATTCCAAAAATTACTACAAATTTACTGCCATATACAGGAACTAAAGATAGCTTTAATATGGTATGTACATAATCTTCACTGAAGAGCATAACAAGCAAATTAAACCCCTAAGTAGAGTATAAAAATGTTGAAAGTAACTACAAATACTTTTTTTGTAAAATGAGTTGCCTTTGGGAAAGAAATGTTACCTCTTATGAAATAACTTCATCCATCACATTTTATATTCAATATTTATATAAAAGATACCTGGGCAGCACCATATTAGGCAACAAAGACATCATGTAGGAAATGACATGAAGGATAGGAAATACTGTGATACTAAATAATGTGAAAAATCCACGTATGAAGCATCAGAACAAACCCAAGAATTTTCAATTCCAACAAAATATTGGTGTTAATAAGCAGCTGCAAAAGCTGGAAATCTATTAAAACATTAGACAAAAATGTAGATGCCTTCAAAAATAAGTACCTATGAAATATTCTTGACATTGGTTAAAAGGACTTATCATCATCAAAAAAGGTATGTAAATCACCAGACAGAAGCTTGTTTCCATTAGAATTAGAAGTAAATACAGGACTTATATGGAGCATGCAATCTAGAAGCCAAAAGGAAACAGTCAAGTAGAAACCAACTGGTGTGAAGAAATGAGAGCACCCGAGATAAACCATAAGAAGCAACCATAGCATGGAAGGCAAGAAAATGGAAAGCAGCAGCAAATGACAAAGACAGATGACTTCTACCCTGCATGCAGACAGTAGTGTAGGAAGGATCTGAAAAAAAAGTGTCTTTTGGGAAATAGTTTATTATGAATTTCCTTATCTTTGTGCAAGGAACATGATGTTGTGATGGTGCCCCCACCATGTTTTATGAAAAACTGCCTTATGAATAGAAATATGCATAACTCTGAGATGCTTTGCTATTTACGAAATACCTCATGTAATCTGTCAATTTTAATGTTACAATCTGCTGGAACTGCATATCCTATTTTGGTACATGTAACATTCTTGTATATGAAGTTAGAAATATGAAATATGAGACTGTTTAAAATGTGCTAATGAGAGCCTCTTCTCCCGAAGCTGTAACAACTTTGTGATCAGCTTAAAGACTTGCAAACAGCTTTGTTTGTCCTTTAAGTCCAGAAGGTGGCTGGTCCTAGGAAAATATATGAACTGGTACTGGGATTCCATTTTGATCCTGGTATTTTTCCATGGAACGAGGGATATAAAACAAAAGACTCCCACCCTGGGGGAGAGTCTATTTAAGCAATGAGAATCTCTCAGCCCTTTGTCTTTAACTGGCCTGAGGAATGGCCTGGCACACTAAGATACAAAGAGGGCTGGAGACCCAAGTCAGAGCAAAAGAGTTTGTCTCTGACTTGAAGATTATGCCTGAAACAAGAATAGTTCTTTAGGTTAAAAATTTATATGCAGTAAGTTTTTTAGTGAATTAGAGCTAGCTATGCATTTTCTATTCATTTTAATTTAGTAATTTACTTTGATCTGTCTATTTTCACTTGCAAAAACTTAAATCTTACTGTTTATACTTTTGTTTACAATCAGGCCTACTGTAAATAATTGGTTCCTGACGGGACTAATCATTTTGCATTTCCCTCTAATTGATAAAGGGTGCTTACCTGGTTGGCTTTCACTGTAATGAGGACAAATACAATATGGTTTTACAAAAACTAGATTGCACCAGATAAACCTAATCTACTTCTTTGAGAAGATAACTGATTTTTTAGACTCCAGAAATGTAGAAGAATCTAATCTATCTGGACTTCCATCAGGCATTTGATACAGTTATGCATAGGATATTATTAATGAAATTGGAGAGGATGGGGATTAATATGAGAATTGAAATCTGGCTGAAGGAGAGATCATACTGGAAGGTGAACTGGAAGACTGGAGAGATATTACTAGTGGAGTCCTTCAGGGACTGGTCTTCAGACCAATCTCATTTTACATTTTTATTACTAACCTTGGCACAAAAAGTGAACATATGCTAATAAAATTTGCTGATGACACAAAATTGGGAGGCATAGCTAATACAGAGGAGTTTCAGAATATCACCCAAGAAGATTTGGATGATTTTATAAACTAGAATAACAGAAACAGGATGAAATGTGATGGTGAAAAATGCAAGCTCATGCATTTAGGGACTGACAACAAGAACTTTTGCTGTAAGCTGAGGACTCATCAGTTAGAAGTTACAGAGGGGGAGAAAGACCTGAATGTAGCAATTCATCAGTGTGATGCAGCTGTGAAAAATGCTAATGCAATCCTACAATGCAAGGTATTTACAGTAGAGACAGGAAAATGTTAGTACCATTACATAAGGCACTGTTGAGGCCTCATGTAGAATACTGATCTTCCATGTTTAATAGTGATAAATTCAAACAAGAAGAGGTACAGAAAAGGGCTACTAGGATGATCTAAAGAATGGAAATCCTACAGTATGAAAGGCAACTCAAAAAGCTGGGCTTGCTTTTGTCTAACCAAATGAAGGCTGAGGGGAGCTATGATTTCTCTCTATAAATACATCAGAGGAATTATTTAAATGAAGCACTTACATGGACACAAAAACCAAATAGCTATAAAGTGGCCATTGACAAGTTTAGGCGTGAAATTAGACAAAGGTTTCTAACCATCAGAGTGAAGCTCAGGAACAGCCTTCCAAGGAGAGCAGTGGGAGCAAAAATGGCTTCAAGACTGAACTTGATAAGGAGGGGATTGTATAATGGGACTGCCTATTATGGCATGTGGCCCATCAATGACTGGTAATAGCAAAAACCCTCAACTGCTAAAGATGGAACACTAGATGAGGAGGGCTCTGAGTTTCTAGAGAATTACTGTTTCCCAGGTATAGGTCCTGCTCACATCCTCAGGAACTGATATCAATATTTGGGGTCAGGAAGGAATTCCGCGCCCCCAACCTCAGATTGGCTGACACCATGTGGGTTTTTCACTTTCTGCTGCTTGCAGGTTTAAACAAGAGTAACTGAATTCTCTGTACCTTGAAGTCTTTAAACCATGATTTGAGGAATTCAGTAACTCAGCCAGAGGTGATGGGGTTATTTCAGAAGTAGGTGAGATTATCTAGCTGTTCACAATAGTACCGTCAGACCTTAAAGTCTATAAGTCAAGGCAAATAGCTCCAACACTATCCACAGGTGGTGAGAAAGAAATGAGCCGGAAGTGGTAAACATGCCCTTCTCTAAGAGCACAAAACAGCAAGGGCACAAGATCTGCCTGGTGGTATCACTGGCAAAAGACAGTGTTCAACAAAACTGGTGACCTTGATCTTTATTTTCATTGAATCCCAGTTTGTCCCCCATATCCAGATCACAAACACCTGCAATGGAATGTATGTGTGTGCAATCAAAAGAATATCAGCCACAAAACTCAACAATAATTCTGGTGTGTGTTTATACACAAATAGATTTTCACTAAACACTGTCAAAACCAGTAGAGATCACACGCCCTAAGAGGTCTAAAAATATAATTAATATAAAAAAGCCCTAGAAAAATCTTTGATGCAAAGCATCTTGGATAGTGTGTTTTACAAGGTGAAGACCTTATTTCCTAAGCAGAGGTCTACAGCTAAATTAAGATAGCATCACCAGGAATAATGTTACCTATTGCTATTATTTAATACTTCCTTGCTGTGATTTAATCAGCATAAGAACGGCCATACTGGATCAGACTAAAGGTCCTGTCCCAGAGAGAGGGAACAGAACAGGTAATCCTCACATGATTCCTGTTACCTATTTACAGACAAACAGAAGCTAGGGACACCATTTGTACCCATCCTGGCTAACAGCTATTGATGGACCCAACCTCCATGAATCCATCTAGCTTTTTTTTGAAACCTGTTAGAGTCCTAGTCTTCACCACATCCTCTGGCAAAGAGTTCCACAGGTTGACTCTGCACAGCATGAAGAAAAACTTCCTTTTGTTTGTTTAATTTCATTTGGTGACCCCTAGTTCTTACATTGTGGGAATAAGTAAATAACTTTTCCTTATTCGCTTTTTACACAGCAGTCATGATTTTATAGACCTCTATCATATACCCCCTTAGTCTCCTCTTTTCTAAGATGAAAAGTCCCAATCATTTTAATCTCTCTTCATATGGGACCCATTCCAAACCCCTCATAATTTTTGTTGCCCTTTTCTGAACCATTTCCAATGCTAATATACCTTTTTTGAGATTAGACGACCACATCTGTACCCAGTATTCAAGACGTGGTGTACCATGGTTTTATATAGAGGCAATAAGATATTTTCCGTCTTATTCTCAATCCCTTTTTTAATGATTCCTAACACTCTATTTGCTTTTTTGACTACCGTTGCACATTGAGTGGATGTTTTCAGAGAACTACCCACAAAGACTCCAAGATCTCTCTTGAGTAGTTATAGCTAAATTAGTCCAATCATACTGTATGTATAGTTCAGATTATTTTTTCCAATGTGCATTACTTTACATTTATCAACTTTAAATTTCATTTGCCATTTTGTTGCCCGATCACTTAGTTTGGTGAGATCTTTTTGAAGCTCTTCACAGTCCACTTTGGTCTTAACTATCATGTGCAGTTTGGTATCATCTTCAAATTTTGCCACCTCACTGTTCTCTAGGTCATAAATAAATAAGTGGACCAGGACTGGCCCCAGGACAGACCCTTGGGGGACCCTGTTAGTTGCCTCTCTCCACTCAGAAAACTTACCATTTATTCCTACCTTTTGTTTCCTGTCTTTTAACCAGTTATCAATCCAAGAAAGGACCTTCCATGACAACTTATTTTACTTGACTTTCCCTCAACAAATTCTGTTCATCTATGTTCATCTACCTTTCAATGCACTGATGTGAGTGTTTAACCAGAGATTAACCAGAATGCTTTTTTGCACAAGATTCCTATATTGTGTGGAAATTCTATTGCAATCTTGCTGTGACAATGCACAGACAGGAACGATGATAGCAATGCTACAGGATGCCACAAGGAACTGACATGAAGGGAAACAAAAGGGTTGTACCACATCTAACTGTCCAAGTGGAAAGTGAAGCTAAGCAAATGTAGCAAAAAAGTACAAGCATCTCAAGACTATTTTGAGTACTGCTGCTCAGGCACTTGAAACCTCCTTCGCCCACCTATATTTTCTCACCCACTACCAAAATCTCACCAAAAAGAATTTCTATTTGTCCAGGAATATAAAAGCACAAGTGAATATGCATGCAACACATACAAAAACAAATGGGGCTGGCAATGGTCCTCCTGTTTGTCAGGGAACTTACTGGCTTGGATGGATGGCTCAATAAAACTTCAGGTTGCTAAAGGGAGATAAAAGGAAGGGGAAATTGGGAAAAAAGGAAGAGTGAGAGAGAAAAACAGATGTAACAAGAAAACGATTTAAAGACAGATGTAAATATTCATTTATTACAGCTCTTAAAATTATGGGTTTTAGTAATAACAACTTTGAAATAGTACAAAATTTGATGATTTAAATCTTGGCATTATCAAAGCCAAGGTTTTACCCCAATATTCACTCCCCCTCTCTTTCCAGCTGTTTCTACCCAACCCTCACTTTGCTGTCTTATGCTGTACTCAGATTTACAGATGACAAGTCATACAGCTTAACAGATTGGGTAGAACTTTTACTTCTAATACCTCATATAGATTAATTATCAAACAGGTAAATATTTCATGAGATTATCTTAAAAATAACAAACCAATGGTGAACACAGTTGATGGAAAAGAAAAATTATAGAAAGCCTCATTTCCACAGTAACCAGTCTCTAGTTTTCCTTCCTTGGTTGGAGAGTCGAGCCCATTAAACCTGTTTTGGGTTTTTTGTTGTTGTTTTTTTAAATGAATCACTGCTACTGAAATTACTATGCTATGAATTAAATGCAACATTTTCCCCCAATCTACAAGCCTGTCTGTAAGATTTCTAGTCATAACCAGAAAGTCTTTCACAAAGAAAAGCCATAGAACCCAAATCGGACTAAATGTACTCAGATTCTGGGAAACCCACAATTTGGATGAACACTTCACAATCTTATGACTTTACATATTCTCTCTCCCTGGAAAGATATTATACCCTTTAACTGGAAGCAAGGACATCATAGCAGCAGAGAATACCACAAGTATGCCCAAGCATTGACCTAATAACTTTGAAGGGGATTTTCCTGTCATAGAGCTAGCGTTAGCATTCTCCTCTGGTGCAAAACCTCTAAAACTGGTCTGGATTGGGAAATTGGCTACAACTATGGTAGAGGATTTGCTCCTCTTGGACCGGATTCTATTGTTAGGGCTACCTAAGACAACAAAAATCACTTCATATATAGGAACAATGAGTAGTCCTATGGAACCTTAGAAACAAACAAATATATATATATAGTATCACGAGCTTTTGTGGGCAAAATCCACTTGATCAGATGAGCTGGAGTGGAGCTCATCTTTTTTTTAATTATAATTTCTCTCTCCACTTAAGTTCATCTCATCTGAAGAACTTGGTTTTGTCCAAGAAAGCTCATGATACTATATCTATATAACTATATCTATAACTAAGACGGCTACCCCACTGAAACTTTTATTCATACACAGGAGTAAGGCAAGAGGCAGGAGAAGCTGGAAAAGAGAACACTCAGAACTAAGGAAAAAAGATTATCACTTGAACATATATAAGGAGGAGGCATATATATTTGAAAGTTAAATTTTCTAAAGGTGCTATGCACAGTTCTGCAGAGGCAAAAAATTCTGAAGAGAAACTTTTGGACCAAAGCCCCATAATACCTATCACCTATCCTGAAGCTTCAGCTGCTTTCATCCCAGTAATTATGAAGACCTAGTCAATTAGCCTAGTTCACTGGACATGCAAAATCAACAGAGACACATGATGCCCTTTCAGTATTCAGAAGTTCCTGCACTATTTCTTTTTCCTCACGTTTTTTTTAATCCAAACTGTTAAACATCTCAACAGTTCTCAGTATAGCAGTGAATGACAGCAGAGGGATTAGAGTGTTCAGAATACAGAGATCTGTATAGTCGCAGGATCATTATTGAAATACAAGGATACAGTGATTATGGAAATAGCTGCATTCAGACAAACTATCACTGTCACCCAAAGAGAGTACAAGAAACCAGACAGAATAAGAGTAACCGTTAAGGAAACAAACAGAAACCATGAAAATCAGAGTTTATGGCGGGGTGGGGAAGAGGCTGCCAGCAGGCTGAATCTGGCCCTCCAAGCCACCAGATCCAGCCCGCGGCCACCTTGTTGGAACCCTTAGGCAGAAAACAGCTCACACTTTGAAAGCCATCTGTTCTCCATTCTGGTTGCAAAAGCTCTTAGCTCCTATTGGCAATCTTAGTTTCTGGCCAATAGGAGCTGAGATTTTTTGCTGGGAGCAGGGGCAGCGTAGTAAGCCTTCTCCCTTCTTCCTCAATCACCTCGCTCTCCCCCTCCCCCTCATGCCCAGAGCATAGCCACATGCAGCAACAAACAGCTTGCAGCAGACAGTCTGCCTCAGGTTTCTGCTGGTAAATGTATCCTAGCCAGAGTCTGCCTCTGGCACAGCAGCCCCCGCCCCTCCATATACCCAAGCCCTCTACCCCCTCCTGTACCCATATCCCCTCCCAGATTTGGCACCCCAATTCCCCGCCCCAGATCACAATCCCCTCCTATCCTAGATCACATCCCAAAATCCTTCATCCCAGTGCCCTTCCCTAGGTCACAACTGTCTCCTTCACGCAAACTCCCGCCCAGGCCCCATTTTCCCTCCTGCAGCAGGCGGCCGAAGCTGGAGTTGCCCCACCCAGCGGACATGCACCTGTGCCCTGGAGCTACAGCAGCCATAAAAAGTTGATTGAGACACACTCATATGGAGTTTTCATGTAGCACAAGATAAGTGTGGTTCTACTCTCAGCAAAAGGTGATGGAGAAAAGGGTGCCACAACTCCTACAGATGCCATTACAGATCACAATGTCTTTTATAAGCCTGACAGAAATGTAGCCGTGTTAGTCTAGTGTAGCTGAAACAAAATACCTAGTCCAGTATTTTGTTTTATAAGCCTGTTTACCTAGCTATAGTAATTAACACTATCTTAGCTCCCAACACTACCACAAGTTACTAAAGTGGATTTATGAAATGTAGTTTTTAAATGTTTTTTAATCAGAGCTGGTTTATGTATTTTTAACTATTTTACATACACAAAAAAGAGACTAAGCCATCCTGAAAACATGAAATTGTTTTAATGGCCATTTGAATAGCACTTAAGGGAAAAAATAGGGTTTAAGAAAGATTCACATATAAGGTTGCTCTTTCATACATTCACAGGGAAAGCTACCCAATTACAGTTTCTTAAGTCTGTATTCAAGCAGACTTAAGCACTACTTCTTTGATATAAAAATTCAGTGCTGCTGAGTGAAAGGAAATGTGCCAGCTGCTAGGAACACCTTTTAGGAAAAGCAGCAATTCTTTTCACAGCATGAAAGGAATGCAATTGCACAAAAAGAAATGATGATAGAGAACCCACAACACAACCAGATACTTAAAATAAAACCCAGAGAACAAATTCATTCCAGGCATAGCTCAATAAAGCTCAAGAAATAACTTTGTAAGGAGGGTGCTTTTTCATAGTTAATAATTGCACAAGTGCTTCAGTATGCAGCAAGTCATTGGACTACAGAAGCAGAGGTATATCTGGGTTCATGGTATACTCCAGACGGAATTTGGAATAAAAATATTGAAAACTCTTCACACATTTTAAATTTTTGCATATTTTATTTGTCAAACCAACACAATACGATTATACTATTTTTAATTAAATTTTAATTATTCTGAAATAAATTACTGAAACGACTGAGATAGGAATGATTATATTGTTATTGTATTATTGTGTTATTTTGACAAATGAAATATGCACAACTTTGCAGAATTTTAAAATTTAAAATTTTTACCGCAGGATTCCCTGAAGTGTACCAGGGTTTTGTCTGACATGATCTGGATATGGGCAACTCTGTGGATGGCTGGGGGGAAGCTGGATGCACATGGATATGGTGAGAGGTTCTGGGTGTAGGGGAAGTAGTACAACTGATTTCTTTATACTTGACTGAAAATACAATGGATTTTTTTTAATCTAGCTTTTGATCTGATTCAAAGTCTCTTTATATCATTCTGAGCTACCCCTTATATAGACTTTTCCCCCTAAAGCTTCTATCCAGTATAGGAATCTCTAAAATGGAGAGTAAGTACAAGCAACTTCCCAGGAAATAAAAAGTGGTATCATTAGGGATGTAAAGTCTTGTTTAATCAGTTAACCAGTTAAATGTTAAGTTTAACCAGTTAACTGATTAAATGGGGGCAGGTGTGCCACGCTCAGGAGCTGGCTCCAGAACCCTTGCTTGGCTGCTGGCTCCCACCCCACGTGGCATGGGAGTCAGCAGCCTCTCATGGGGCCAGAAACAGCAGTCAGGGCAGGGGGTGGAAGAGGAGTGTGAGGGCAGGGGGTCGAGGAGGAGTGTCAGCTCCTGGGAGTTGGCAGCCTCGCACAGGCCCAGAAGTGGCAGCCTCATCTGACTGTTTGCATGTAGCACTGGAGACAAAGTAGGGATGTGAATGGTTAACTGGTAAACTGATGGGGGCTGGAGTAGTTTCCCTCATCTCCACACACAGAGGGCTGGCTCCAGCCTCATGGGGCACTATAGACAGCAATGCTCCAGCCCAGCTGGGGCAGCTCCTGTCTGCGGCAGGCCCAATTTGGGCGAGTGGGGCTAGGGTAGGCATGGACAGGGGCCACACTGGCTGGCCTCCGGCTGGCAGTGGGGCACTCCATCCCCACTGTAGTGAAAAGGGAGCACCCCCCCCTTAATCGATTAACCAGTTAAACATTACATTTAACCAGTTAGCCACATAAACAGGATTTTACATCCCTAATAAAAACATCCTGGTTATTGTAGAATTGTGACACTACCTTTGGGATGAAAACTGGATACGAGTGCAGTTGGACCCTGTCCTGAAGAAGATTGTGTATGGGGGTTCCAAAGTAAGGACCATAACTTCCAAGAGCCTTCTAGCAAGGTAATGGCCACCAGGAAGGTAACTTTCCAGGACAAGAGAAGTAGAGAGCATGTTGCCAAGGGTTTGAATGTAGGACCTCTAAGCCTTGACAATACGGGGTCGAAGCTGCAAGGTGGAATCAGCTGGCCCACCAGTGGCTACAGCCTGTCCAGCCTCTTGAGAAAAGGACTACAGAGCAAATTTACAAGATGGAGTTGACATTCACCTATGGGTGAAAAACTGATTGCAACCAGGTGGACTCTAAGGCT